TACATTTTGAACAGATGTCCTACAAAGAAGCTAGAAGGAATTACTCCAGAAGAATGTTGGTCTGGTGTGAAGCCTAGCTTGAGTCATCTGAAGGTATTTGGATCTATTGCACATAGACATGTGCCAGATCAGTTGAGAAGAAAACTTTATGACAAGTCAAGTCAAATGATCCTAGTTGGATATCATTCGACAGGAGGCTACAAGTTGTTCGATCCAGAGAACAAGAAGATTGTGATCAGCAGGGACGTGATCATAGATGAGTTTAAAGAATGAGATTGGACTGCAAATGTCAAGAAAGATTCAGTGGGAATCCTATTCGAAAAGCCAGAAACTCAAGTCGAAAGAGAAGTTCGACAAGAGGAACCAGCAGATATACCAAGTACAAGCAGACCTCAAAAAACAAGACGCATGCCTGCAAGATTGCAAGATTGTGTGATTACATCAGATGATGTAATAGATAATGAAGATGAGCTGGTACATTATGCTTTCTATACAGATGTCGAACCTGTTAATGCAGCTGAAGCATTAAAAGATTCGAAGTGGGTGAAAGCAATGAACGAAGAAGTAAAGTCTATCGAAGACAACAACACTTGGTCACTTGTCGAATTGCCTCAAGGCAAGAAGGAAATTGATATCAAGTGGGTATACAAAGTGAAAACAAATTCGAAAGGTGAAGTAACTCGACACAAAGCAAGACTTGTGGCGAAAGGATTTCTACAGAAAGAAGGAATAGACTTCGACGAAGTTTTTGCACCTGTTGCTAGGATCGAAACAATCAGGTTGGTTGTTGGTCTAGCAGAAATAAACAGTTGGCACATATGTCAGATGGACGTGAAGTGTGCATTCCTAAATGGACCCTTAGATGAAGAAGTCTATGTTAAACAACCAGTTGAGTTTGTGAAACATGACGAAGAAAGAAAGGTGTACAGGCTACATAAAGTCCTGTATGGATTGAAACAAGCTCCAAGGGCTTGGAATAAGAAAATTGATAGTTTTTTAAGGGATAAGGAATTTGTGAAGTGCACAACTGAATATGGAGTATATGTAAAAAGAAGCAAGAGTAAATTGCTTATACTATGTCTCTATGTAGATGATTTGTTGATAACAGGTAGCTGCAAGGGTGAGATCGAAGACTTCAAAGGTGATCTCAGTAAGGAATTCGAAATGTCTGATTTGGGTGAGATTTCATACTTCCTTGGTATCAAATTCTACAAGAGCAGTAGAGGTTTGATGATGCATCAAAGAAGATATGCAAGAGAAATTCTCAAGAGGTTTGAGATGGAAGAATGCAACTCAACTTCGACACCTGCAGAACCAAGACTGCAACTGTCGAAAGATGCAGATGAAGATGATGTTGATCCAACCCAATACAGAAGACTTATTGGATCATTAAGATATCTTTGTCATACAAGGCCTGACTTAGCATACAGTGTATGTACAGTGAAGAGAATACTAAGGTATCTCAAAGGAACTTTCGATTATGGTATTTTGTTTCCTGCAGTTGATAAAGGAAAAGAATGCAAGTTAGTGGGATACACTGATTCGAGTTGGTGTAGTGATGCTGAAGATCGAAAGTCAACAGCAGGATATGTGTTTATGCTAGATGGTGCACCAATTGCTTGGAATTCGAGAAAAGAACCAGTAGTGGCATTATCATCATGCGAAGCAGAATACATAGCTGCTTCTCTTTGTGCATGTCAAGCAACCTGGATGGTGAACTTGGTCGAAGAGATAACAGGGAAAAATCATGGAGCAATTACCATGAAGATAGACAGCATGTCAGCTATTAATCTGACGAAGAATCCAATAGCACATGGTCAAAGTAAGCACATCGAAATGAGATTTCATTATCTTCGAGAGCAGGTAGCAGATGGGAAGATGAATTTGGAACACTGCAGAACTGAGAATCAGATTGCAGACATCATGACGAAGGGAGTGCAAGTTGAAGTATTCAGAAAGCTAAGGGCCATGATGAACATAAACAGTTTAGACACAATGAATTAGGTGGTGTGTTAAATTGTAATTCATATGTGTCAAAGAAGATTTGATTTGTTTTAGATTTAAATAGATTTGATTTAAGTCTAGAATAGATTTGATTTGATTTGATTTAGTAACAAAAAGATATTTTGAGCCTTGGGCTTAGGGTGTAAGCTCAGTTATAAATAGAGGGAGTAACCCCTGTTTTTCATATAGCAAAATAAGCAAGTCAAGCAGGACAATTCATTGTAATCACAGAATTTGCAGTTGCAAGTGATTAAGAAAGTTTTCCACAGTTTTTGCGCAGAGAGAAACTCTGCAGAAATATTTATCTTGTCTTCTTTTATTTGTTTTTCTCATAACTAATCATCATTATTGGTCAAAATTCATCATAGTATTAAGTGGATTTCCAACACAATTTATATATTAATTAATGATTAATCTCAAACAACACTATATCAAATATGTTGCCTAAATTTTAAAAATAAAAGTATAACTTTCTTTCCTTTTTTTTTCTTGCATGTATGTTGTTATCCATTCAAATTATCATGATATGAGAAAGAACTTCAACTCGTAAATTTGCTTGGAAGGCATAAACAAATGTTGAAAAAGGTATGCATCCCTGGAATTCAAGGCACTCTTCAGTTCCCTTTTGCCTCTAAAATATGAATGATTCATTTTTAAGGTTTCATAATGTTACCTAACATAGCATCCATTTTCTAGAAATAAAATTTAACAGATTTGACTGAGACATATTATAATGTCATATTTTTAGAAGAAAAAAAACTATAATGTAAGAGAAATTATAATATAATATAATTTTCAAAATAAAAAATTTCAAATTTATATTATTTCTAAAGAAATTTAAATACTTATTGACTATAAATTTTAAATATATACAATGAAAACCAATTGTTTCACCACATCACTCAATTTTTGTGAATGCATTTTAAAATTAAATACATGGCATAAAATGGAGGGTTATACTTGAATATCAAGGTAAAATTAATATTTTTATTTTTAATTTTTAAAATTATTATTATTAACTTTATCTAGTAGCAAAGGATTAATAAAATTTTGCAATAAAAAATTATATATATTTTTAAAAATAATGAAAATGTGAAATAATTATTTCCAAAAATACAACATTTTATATATTCTTCATAGTTATTTTAAAAAGTCTCATATTGTAATACATATCGATCAAATCTTTTAAAAATTACTTTTAATTATTATTTTAAAATAATGACAATCTGGAAATTGAAACAAAGAACCATTCAAATTTAATCATAAATATTGTTGGTGTATAAAAAAAAATTATGTTGTGTACATTTTAAAATATAAAAAAACCATATACATGAATCTCTCTTTCTTTTTCAAGAGTTTAATTTAGATAGGCAGTGTAAATCTAAAAACTATATGATCTTTATAAAATTAGCAAGAACAATGATAAATACCGAATGATTACTGATACTTCTTATTATTTTTTACTGATTTTATGAACTAGTTCATAATATGATTTTTAATTTTAAATTGTATATATAATTAAAATTTTAAAATAATAAGAGATGCATGTATATGAAAACTCATATCTTTCCAGAATTTGTTGTCAGCTTCAAGGCTCCTTAGGATGCAGCAGGTGATGTACTCTTTGTTAAGAAAATTTCCCACCTGTGTTGTACATTTTAGCATTACATAATTAGTACTAAAGAATGAAGAGGTTAATCATCGACAAACTAATTAATATGTGATTATTTTCAATCTATTAATAGCTCACTATAGTTTGACAAAACAACAAGTTGTTTATTCTGCTAGGCTGTAACATTATTGTTATTTCTTTCTAAACAAATTGATCACAACACCTTATGTTTTCTCACAGAAAATGCATGTTTAAATGAGAAGGAGAAAAATGTTTATGGGAATAACTGTTCTACGTTGGATACCGTAAGTTATCTCATATGAGTTTTATATCTTAATAAGGGTTTATTTTAAATCAAGTGTACCGTCAACATTCATATTTTATGGTTTTATAATAAATTTCACCCTCTCTTCTGGATGAAGTCAATTAGTATATTTTTTCATGAAAAACTTTTGTAACAAATAACAATGTTATTATTTTTAAATACGAAATTAGATACTGTGTAATCAGTTATTGATATATAGAAATATAAATCTTAAACTATCAATTTTACGGCCTAACATAACCACTCATGTCTAGCAATGCAAGAAAAGTTGTCTATAAGATAGCGAGAATCATGAATATATTTTTTAATGGGATAGCAATTTTTAAAAACAGAGTTACTCCAATTAACCGAACTAAAAAATCAATGTTTTAAAAATTAAACTGGACATCGAATTGATAAGAGTTTCTAGTTAATGACTTAATTGCTTTGAATAGCTTGAATTGACTTTAAACTGAGATCAAACTACTCAAATAATCTAACCGTGCACAATGTTGATTCAGAGTTCAACTAGTTGAGCCATTTGACTCAGTTATGCTTTTACACCCTTCTTCATCATACAATAGCCATTATGTCTTGTTTCTCTTTAATCTTTTGTAGAGAGCACATGAATTATGTTGATATACTCTAAAAAGCAGGTTAGTGGCCAGTTATATCGCCATTGGAAATCAGAGAAACTGCCACAGTTGAAAATAGTTTCGACCAACTATTAGTTTTCTTTTGCAGCTATGGTTGTGAAAGCTTATTCAAAATTTCACAAGTTTTCATTAAAAAATATACCAGCAGCAACTCAAATCCTGATTCAAAGATTGATTTAGTCATGAATATTTCATATAAAATTGACAAGAGTTTGGAAGGGAATGATATTGTACACATACAAATGAAGGAATTGCTTCTTAAAAGATTTGACAGTGTTGCATTTGCATTTTAAGTCTTGGTATCTTTTTCTTTTGGTTTGATGACTAAAACAATTCTTGAACAGTTGAACTACTGAAAATCTCTTATATGGACATATTTGATGTTACTCACTTATTATTATTATTATTATTACAATCACCATTATTATGTGCCAAGAGTTTTTCCGCCTTCACTTGACGGATCCCAACCAGGGGGCTTAATATTCGGCCAATCACCACGACATCCCAATCTTATGTATAAGCCTTTTTTACCTGCATGATGTCAGAGCAACAGATTAAGTCAATCGCGGACTAATAAATTCGGGTGCTACCTTTCCCAGCCGCAATATGAGTTTGTGATTTTAAAACACATGACTACAAACAAATGGGCACAAGTACCTGGAAGTTTCTTGTCAGATAGGATTAACTGTTTTAGGGCCCTCAAACATCCTTGTGCCACACTTTTAGCATAGGCAGGATCCCATCCCTGTAGTTTGACAACAACATCTGAGTTTGTGTATGCAGTTATGCCATCTTTGACATTTCGGTGTGCCTCCTCCTTTGCAGAATCTTCATCTGTATTTCATGCTATCAAAATCTTTTTTTACTGGAAACAATAGGCTGAAGTAAATATGCTATCAAAATCATGTAAGTAAAATAAGGTTATTGGTAGATCCATGTAAGTTCTCAATATTTCCCTCCCTCCATTTTTAAAAACTTCCAAACAAAGGTTGAATCAAATGTGGCTTCCACACTTTTCCTTCATTTCTCCTCGCAAACCCTCCACCCAACACACAGCCTTTATAATGGTAAAAGTTTCATCAAAGTCAAGGCTCAAGGGCCTCATTTATTGTTTTGAACGTTCAAAACAAGGTTAAAATGTTGGACTAAAGCTGAAGGCATATCTTACAAAAAAAAAAAACCAAGAATATATCAACAAATATCACCTGATGCTTCAGTTTGTGACAACCAGACAGTAAATCCTGCATAAAGATGTCTCCATTTATCAGATCTTCCAGCAGCACCTTGTCTACCTCCTAATGTTGCAACTACTGTCCTTACATGACTAGCAGACCACTCAACAGTGGAAAAAACGCATTAGTACCCAGCAACTAAAGTTTCCAGAAAATGAAACAAAGCAATCAACTTACCAACTTATGCTTTCAAGTACAGCGCCTTCACCTTCAGCTACCGAGTCAGAACCTTCAGCAAGCAGCCCTAGAATTCGATTACATTTGTTAATACATTGCAAGATACAGGATTTAAGTGACTCTTGTGTTGAAATGTATGCACTTGTTGCAGTCATATCCTCTTATATTAAAACAAGATGCATCATCTCATCACAGTAATATCTTCCAAGGAGAGGGCTTTTTATGGTTTTTACTTATTAATCAGGAATCTTCACAAATAAAGCTTAAAGATGATCCCTGGGCCAAGGTTTTCCGAGGTTGCAAGTAACTTATCTTTATCAGTAGAAGTAACACAGAATGGCAACAAATTTGTAGTGTCAGAACTCAGCAGTTTTCATAAGACTAATTATGCATTTGCTTAAAAAGGGCAGAAATGGCACATTGCTTTAGATTTTTTGTCTAGAGTTAAGGTAGTGTCTAAAATTGGAGTTAAACACAATATTTTCTAATATAATACTGAGGACAGTCACATTATTCAACCTACAGTTCTATAATAATATTACTATGCTAATGTTGATGACAATACATACTATACAATTCAATGTCCTAGAACAGGAAGAAAGAGCAAAGCATAGCAAATTAGCAACGGACACTTACATGAATCCACGGTTTGGTTGGAATAAGATTCCAGCAACTCTTGCGTACTAAGTGGTGTGTATCTGAGAGGAGAAGAATATCGTTATCAAACACTAGAGATTTGTGAGCCATTAGTGAAAGTTACAGATCAATGATAGGCATCAACCACAAAAATGCACCCCTTGACATTAACATAGTTTCTCCTCCTAGTTAGCAGCATTTAGAATGACACATGAACTTAAACGTACCCGAGACCAGTAGCAAGCTCTTGAGCCACTTTCTGGTTGATTTCAGTGGAATGACCGACAAGGTAAATTGAAGTTCCTTTCAAAAGCTGGGATGATCCGGCAGCAAGTGATTCCCATGATTCCATGATATCAGGCCATTTCAAGTCAGGGTCGTGTTTCTTGAAACTCACAACAAGCTGATCATCATCTATATACCTGCCCAAATCAGAAGCATTCAACCAAAAGAGCTAAAAGAGCATATATTTAGAATGCAGCTTAATTAGCACAAACCATATTGTTTCGGAGGGTTTAATCCTGTCAAAGAGAGGATTAGTTTGTATCAAGGTAATGGGAGATCCTGAGCGCAAGAGTGTGATATCTAAGGATGTATCGTCTGCATTAACAGATATGTCTTTTGTGCTTATTATACCCATGCCTCCTATATGTAATCTTAACTCCATCTCAGAAGCAGCGTCAGAAAACTGCATATAGTTAGAGCTAGTGAAATGGTAAAAGAGAAAAAGAAAAGAAAAGTGTGTTATAAGAACCTGATAGGTCGTAGTGGAAAGAGGGGCAGTGAAGGAACATTTGCAGGGAGGTAGAGGAAGAGAAAACCGCGATGATGAGACAAGATTGGGTTTAGAGAAGGAGTGGACAGTTTTCTTGGGAGTGGGGTTTGGGGGAACAAACCGGAGAGCAGCAGCCGCAGTAGCAGCCATTTCAGGAAAAGAGATAGAAGATAAATCTGTCTCTTCATGCTACATACACACCACATAAGATTAGACCTGACCCGCCCAAACACATCCGGAGACTTGATGCCAAATTTAAAATTAAATATTTCTAATATAATTAAAGTATCTAAAATTAATAAATTTTAGATGTTTTAGGATGTAAAACTATTAAATGATTATAATTAATTTTATTTAATATTTTATTTTAATTGACAATAAAATTAAAACACTAATTTGAATAGGTGGGGTAGCTCAATTGATCATTACTAATTAGGTTAAGGGGCTATTGGTCCAGAATTCAAGTTTTAGCGGCAACTTTTATTTCTATTTTCTTTCGACCTATAAAGAGGTTGTTGATATTTATAAATGAACAACTTTAAAAGAAAAACATTAATCTCATTATTTAAAAAAAATATCATGTCAAAATTATATAAAAAAATATTTGGATATTAATTCTTTTATTATGTTAAAAAAATTTAAATTTTTTTATTTATGTGTAGTTTTTAAATTAACAAATTAAATAAGATAATATTATAAACTATTGTTATCATTATATATTCTAAGTATTATTATTTAACTTATATATAACATAATTAAAAAAGATTATTTTTTTAATAAAAAAATCAATTAATTAAGAACATATAAATATAAAATAAAAAAGTGAGGCCCTAGGCAGCAGTAGCTTTGATGGCCTACCCCTAGGGTCGGCCCTGGATTAGAGATATCATATTTTATTAATTCTTATTTCAGTAAATGCATATTGGAAAAAGTTGTTTAAAACAAAATCATTTAGAAAATTAGAATTTAAAAACATTTTCAAACAATGAGTAAATATGCAGCGGAAAAAAGAAGAAAGAAATTGAAAGAGATAAGGGAGATAGAAATAACACCAGACATTTATACAGGTTCGGCTTAATAACTTGACCTATTATTGTTCACAAGAATTCTTCTTGAGAGTATCTACTAAATTGAGAGTTTTTAACATGATATGCTCACGAACCTCCTTTTCCAAAGATATGAAGTTTAAAAGCTAACTTCCAACCAAACAACAAGCCAACAAACAAAGTTTAGAATGACTATCCTCCAAACCAAATAGAGATTTTCCACGGGATAATCTAAAACTAAAATGGAGTTTTACATTGGCTATGCTCAGAACTGAGATGGAGTTTTAAGTTGGCTATCCTCCAAAATGAATCGAGGTTTTACACGGGATGACCTCAAACTGTGATGAGATTTTACATAGGTTAGATTTTTTGTGCAATTAATAAAGTTTCCATCTGTGGATCTATGTGCTTGCAAGTATGTAGTTAATAACTTTTCTAAAGTTTTAATAGCGACAACTTCAATGGATGTTGAAGCGGGTTTAATGACTTTCAAACTCTTTGATGATGGTGGCCGAACTTGGAGACATCTTAATCCTCTTCTAGTAGAAGACTCAAGATTCCAGTGAATTGCTTCTATGGTCGATGTATCTAGTATAGGATCTTGAAAGCCTCAGAGTTTTCAAAGAGAAGAAGTGTAAAAACCCGCATGGTCGTGTATGTTTGAGTGATCATAATTTGTAAAAGTAGGGAAGTAACTCCTAAGATATTAAGGAAACTCACACCCACTTAAAACCTCTTTTTTATCTATCAAATCTCTTAAAAATATTTCTAAGGTCGAGCCATGTGATTAGGAAACTATCATCTTTCTTTCAAAGGCTTTTTTGAACTAGCCAATCGTTTGAGGCCTTAAACCAATCGATTGGAAATACTTTTTTGAACTACCCAAACAGTTGAGACCTTAAACCAATATATTGGAAGAAGCCTAAACAATCATCCAATCAATTATAACATTGTCTTATTGACTAGAAAACAACTCCTTTTCAAAAAATTTCAAAATGGGCCATAACAATCGATTATTTCACTCATCCAAATCGTTTGGGTTTAGGAGCCAATCAATTAGATCATTAAAAAATCCCGTGGATTTTTTCCGTTTGTGGATTTTCCTTCTCCTATATAAAGGAGGATCCTCATTTCACACCAATTTCCAAAACTCTCTATTTTCTTTGAAACTTATCTCTCTATTTTTCTCAATCTCTCTCTAGAAATATTTTTCATTTCACTTCAGTTTCCTTGTGTCGTGGTGGGAAAAATTGAGATTAAGCTATTGATTAACTTAACTCAGAAAAAAGCAAGAGTCGTCACCAAACTTTATTGTTTCCAAAGAAAAATAGAAAAGGTCAAACAAAACCCATAAATTTTTTTAAAATAAAACTAATAAAATGAGAGGTTTGAATATGGGGGTTGGTTATGCAAAGGAAATGTATTAGCACCCTTCACATCCATGGTACTCTATAGGAACCTCTTGAAAATTTGTGTTATAAAAAAGAGTTGTTTGTAAAGAGATTGATGAGATGAGAAAATAAATTGGTTTTATGATTTTTGTTTGACATGACTTCAAGAGCATCGTGTCTACGTATCAACCAAGTGTAATGAAGATTCAAAACCTCGTAGTTTATGGTAAAAATAACAAAAATTTGTTTGTTTTGGTTGATTTTAATGAAAAGATCGACATGTTGTCGTATTCGAGTGAAAAACTCACTTACTACCCACAATTATAAGGAATGAGCATTTGCATCATCTTGATATGGATAATTTTTCTTGGATTTATTCAACAAGACAATTATCAATATTCAAGTGGAAAATGTCAATCACTTCACAATATATTGTAGAAGTATAGTGGTTTGTATCACTATAAGAATCAATTAATGTCCAATCTTTGAAAAATTATTTTAAAAGGGAAAATGCACAAAGGGCACAAAAAGATTTAAATGAGTTTGATGTTTTTTTAGTCTTTTTGAAAAGAGTTTTGATATGCTTAAGATGTCTTGGAATTTATTAATAAAATGGTTTTGAAAATCACTTGATTAGCACAAACCATATTGTTTCAGAAGGTTTAATCCTGTCAAAAAGAGGATTAGTTTGTATCAACGTAATGGGAGATCCTGAGCGCAACACTGTGATATCTAAGGATGTATCGTCTGCATTAACAGATATGTCTTTTGTGCTTATTATACCCATGCCTCCTATATGTAATCTTAACTCCATCTCAGAAGCAACATCAGAAAACTGCATATAGTTAGAGCTAGTGAAATGGTAAAAGAGAAAAAGAAAAGAAAAGTGTGTTATAAGAACCTAGTAGGTTGTAGTGGAAAGAGGGGCAGTGAAGGAACATTTGCAGGGAGGTAGAGGAAGAGGGAAGTTGGGAGATAGAGAAAACCATGATGACACAAGATTCGGTTTAGAGAAGGAGTGGACAGTTTTCTTGGCATTGGGGTTTGGGGGAACAAACCGGAGAGCAGCAGCCGCAGTAGCTGCCATTTTAGCAAAACAGATAGAAGATATATTTGTCTCTTCATGCTGCATACACACCACATAAGATGCCTAACACATCTGGAGACTTGATGCGAAATTTAAAATTAAATAATTCTAATATAATAAAAGTATTTTTAATTAATAAATTTTAGATGTTTTAGGATGTAAAACTATTAAATGGTTATAATTAATTTTATTTAATATTTTTATTTTAATTGACAATAAAATTAAAACACTAATATGGATAGGTGGGATAACTCAGTTGATCATTGCTAACTGGGTTAAGGGGCTGTTGGTCCAGAATTCAAGTTCTAGCAGTGACTTTTATTTTTATTTGATTTTATTTGATTTTATTTGATTTTATTTGAATTTTAAATGAATAAAATCACAATAAATCAAATAAATAATTTAATGAGGCATGGAGTGGTTTGTAGGTCATGTTAGGAACAAGGTACAAGCATAAAAAGTTGGGGCCATTTGAAGAAAAATGCATTTTGGGCATGGTTGACTTTGTGCAAATTTCCAAAAATGGCCAACTTTGACAATGTATATCTCTCTCAATTTTGACCCTAAGAGGGTGTTTTTGGACTTTTTAGAAAGTTTAGGATGTCCTCTAAACAACCCTTTTGGTTTCATCTCAATTTGATCTTCCATGTTCATGTAAGAAGCTTTGACCCAAAAGGTGTTTTTGTTGACTTTTTGAAATGACCTGTAATGTCTAAATTCATATCTTTTCATGAGTGAATTTTTTGAAATTGAGAGCTGAAGATGAGTTGTAGGTAATTGCATCCTCTTAAAAATGAGCCTTGGATGGGAAATTTATGATAAAATATGAGAAAGTTATGCCTGGTCAAAGTTTGGTTGACTTTTCCTATAGAAACCCTAATTTAGCAACTTTTGAGTTTTGATGAATTTGGGGCATTCCTTGAGGAATCATGGTCAACCCTTGATCAAATGATGTATATTGCTTAAAAATGTTTATGTTGACCAAAAATCTTAAAGTTTGACTGTATGTGGGCCACCGTTGACTTTTGACCTAGTATAGTTAATTTCCAAGCATCTGAGCAATTGACTGAGCAAACTTTTTGTGCAAGGCATGAGACCTGACATGGATGTTCTTGAGAACATATTAGGACCATGGAAAATATTTTATACCTTTGGAGTTCACCCATCTTGATGAAAATGGAAACCCTAGTTTGAGATTCATTGTCTTAAGAGAGCATTTGCCTGATCAATCTTTGGGCATCCTTGGGCAAGTTGAGGATTTCAATGAACATATGTTGAGTAAAAAGGGAGGGAAAATTTTGGGTTAAAACACATACCAATGTGAATAAAGCCCACGAAGGTGGTGTTTGCTACTTGGTTACCGTTGATATAGGAACTAACATAGCCTATGATGAAAATGCTGATGATTTTATGGGTTACATTGCATTACAAGATAGAAGTAAAATGAGTATTTTGATAGATAGTTGACACAAAGTTGATGAGGAATTGAAACACGCCATACGGGAGGATGTTACGATATTTATTTTGAGTTTTATGATTTGTTTTACAACTATATATGATTTGTTTTACAAGGATGTTACAATATGATTTGTTTAATAATAATAACAACTCTATTGTGAAAACATAGGAAGTGTTTATTGTTACTAAGAGGATAATATATTTAAAAAAATTGCTTATATATTATGGTGAGCGTTGGAGGGGATTTAAGACTCAACTTACCCATGATTATATTCATAAGCAAAGTGATAAAGATAAGCTTCCATACGTGGTGTATCCATTTATTAATAAGGATGTTTGGGATAAATTTGTAGAGTCTCTCACCATTCCTGACTTCTTAGCAAAGATCCAAAAAGGAAAAGAGAATCATGCTATAAATATATATCCACATAGGTTATCTCATGGAGGATATCAAAAACTTGAAAAGAAAATGATTGAAGAAAAAAGAAAATAAAGGGGACTAGAGCTAGGATATTCTATAAGGCTTGACTGCACTCCATATCCACCATCACGCCAAGAGAAATGGAAAAAGGAATGTAAAATAAAAAACAACGAGTTCACATCAGATGCTACATGCGGAGTGGTTCAAAAAATTATAAGTATATACTTTTTTCAACAATATTTATTTTAGTTAAATCAATTTGGTAAAGATGGAATGTCATATGTGTTGTAGGATGAACTGGTTGAGCAATCCAAAGTTGACCTCTTCCTTTCACAAGATCTTTGTGACATCTTGGAAGAAGTGATTGGAATCGAGGGGCATCCTGGGCGTATTTGTGGTTTTGGAAGAAGCGTTGGTTTGAAGTTATTTTTGGACCATATAAATCATCTAGATAAGTAAACAGTAAGAGAGAGATTGAATAGATAATTGTTGTTAAGTTAGGGGAGAAAATGGAGAAATAGATGGAGGAGTGGGAGAGAATATTGTATGAGGAGAGGGAGAGGGGATGAAGGAGCGGGAGAGGATGTTGAAGGAGGAAAGGGGGAGGTTGTTGCAGAAGGATCGGGAGAGTGTCTAGAAGGAGCAAAAGAAGCGAAAGAGGATTACTGAGGAGGAACGAAAGAAGTCGAAGGAGGAGGAGCTTGAGAAGATGTATGAGAAGTGTATCTGTGATGTGCTTGTGTTATAAGTATAAGTTAAAAAAATTGTGTTGTATGTTATTATTATTATTGTTCGCTGTTGTACCCTAAAATTTTCCCTCTCATATTTTCCCAAGATCTTTCTCTTACATGGTGATTACAAACATTTGATTAATGGAAAAATAATTTTTTTTTGAAGATAAACAAGGAGTCTTCAATTTGAATTTTGACAAAGTCCTTCGATTGGCATGTTAAAAGGCCTTTCAATTGGTATTTGGACAGACTTTAATTGAGCGCCTAACCTCCTCCAAACTTACCTCAAATTTCCAAGCTTCGATTGAAGCCTTGGCCTTCTGCTTGTTTGCTGTATACAAGCTTCGACTGGGCATGTGTTTCCCTTGAAACAGCCTCCTTCGATCCAAAGGGGAATGGCCTCTTGTTAGTGCTCCTTTGATTGCACCTTTGGCTTTGCATGCTGGATTGACTCACAAATGCAATGGCTACCTGCATGCAAGCTGGATTTCTGCTTTGTTCGGGAATTTGGTCTCTTCATAGCATGCTTAGTTCCTGCTTCGACTAGGAAAATAATCCCTCTTAAGCCTGCCTTCAGCGCACAAGGCAAAAGGCTTCTTTCAACTTGCCTTTAATGCACAAGGCAAGAACCCCCTAAAAGCGTGTTTTGATTCATCAAGACAAAAGCCCCTTCACGCCTGCCTTGGATTCACTAAGACAAAGACTTCGTTTGTGCTTGCCTTCAATGCACGAGGCCAAGACTCCTCAGCTCAGTTTCTTCACTATAACACAATATTGCCCCTTCTAAAGAGCATTCCAAAGGTCCAGTTGAAGGACACACATTGGAGAGTCATTCGAAGAAAGCATGAAGGAGTGCATGTGGGCTATTCAAAGGACACACAAATGGTGCCTTCTAAGGGGCATGCATTTGGTCCAGTCGAAAGGCACATAATGATTGAAGGCAAGTGTTGTTTTGTCTTTTGATGCGTCTGGCCAAAGTCCTGAATGCTGCCCAGCCCAAGCCTCATGCACCATTACATTCATGACAAAGGAGGATTCAATTGGCCAGAATGAATTCCTCACTTGGGATATTGGAATCAAACAACTAAGGCAAATAGATGGGTCCAACGAAGGAACCATTTGAAAGACACTTAAGAAGTCCATTCGAATGAGGCAACCAAAGGCCCATTTGAAGAGGACACAAATGGTTTATCCAAAAGACCCCTTCGAAGGAGGCAACCAAAGGCCTATTTGAAGGTTATACAAGAGGTCCAGTCGAAGGAGGCAATAGGCCAATCAAAGAGCAACACTAGAGAGCATTTGAAGGAGCCAAAATGTCCACATACATTCAAATTTCAAAAAGGGACAAGTTTCCACATCTTTTGCAACGTTACAAAACATCATAAAAGAGATTTGAGAACTAGCTTAAACAACATAGAGCATGTGAATTATGTTACATGATGATATACTCCAAAAATAGTTTCAACAAGTTATAAAGTTCTTTTGCAGCTATGATTGTGAAAGTGTAAGTATGAAGTGCGCCTAAGAGGGGGGGGGGGGGGGGGGGGGGGGTGAATTAGGCACTTTAAAAATTTATGGTTTTAGTGATGATGGATGTTACTTTTCTGGATTATGGTGAGTTTATGAAAGAGTAAAGTGCATAAAAATAAAGAGACACAAGCAATATATCCGGGTTCCCCTCACAGTCCGAGAGTACTCCAGTCCCCTTTCAACATGAAAGAGATTTCCTTATTGTGGCAAACTTAAACAAGAACTACCCAAAACCAAGAACATTCCTCTTGGATTTTCACTATGTCAACAATGAGAACAATCCTCTCAAAGTGACTTTACTTGTATCCAACAATCCTGGAAAAACAAGATTTATAAAACCACTTAAACTTATTTCCAACAATCTTGAAAAATAAGTAAGTATATAGCAATATTTGATTTGAGTGAGTTTTAGTAGCAATGATCACTTTGAGTGATTTAATCAATGAATTGATCTTCTCTTCCAATGATAATAGTATACAATGACTCAAGATATATAATGCTCAAAGTTTTATGGTTAACAATATGTGAAATTGTGCAGAAAACTTGTGTATGAAAATGTATAACAGCTTGAGTTTGATTTTTGAAAATTCAGAAAATATATTTGGAAGAGGTGTTGAAATGATTTTGAAAATGAGTATTTATATGTTCATAGAACCTTTTTGAAACACCATAAAGTTCTGTAAATGAATCATGAACAATTACCAAAATTGAATGAAAGGTTCCCATGAATTGGTGTTATGAACAGGCATGTGTAAAGCTGCTGTTTTTCAAAATCGTGTAGCATGCAGTCGATTGCACCCTTTATGTAAATCGATTGCACAGGGTTTCAACAACTAGAAATTCAAATATTTTGAGTGTGC